AAAACAGATTTAGCAATAATTCAGATGACACATTTGTGAGTGCTTAAAAATCTGATCATGTGAAAACCAAAGATACCAGATTAATGGCATACATGCTGGGTATAGATGACCCGATCCTACTTTTTATTTCTGGTACGATATCGAAACCTTGAATTTCGGCCGATACTGATCCGATATTTCTTTTAAAAGAAATCTAAAAGTAGGACATCATTCTCAAACTACTCAAAAACTCTACTACCCCACAAGAAGAATCACACAGCTATCACATAATGTGAGTTGTGCTATTTCAGGTTATTGAAATGGATTGGAATCATTATTTTTTTCACCAATATCCTATCAAATGTTTTCTCCTGATATCAGCTTGATACTTATCAATATGCCATCTCTAGTGCTGAATAATGCATTTAATGAAATCTCACAATGGCTTCAATCCTTTATAAAATATCATGTGCGATTTTTACATGATTACTTGAATAATCTGTTTAATAAACAGCCGAAATCAGATAACCAGTTTTCCCAGCATGGACTAAACATAAGACTACATTGCAGTGCCAATGACCATTCACCACTGGATCTACCATTTTATTCTGAGAAACTGGCCCAGTAAGTCTTAAGATTCATAACAGAATAGTAAGCCTGCAGTTTAAGAGGTTAGGCAGTCTACCTCTATATACTTGTGGTGTTTGGTTGATCATGCCTGGCCTACCTGGAAAGGCACTTTAGAGGACTTATACTGATTCTCTTTGTTTGTTTTGTATTAAGTTCAGAAGCAAACAAACCCAAACTGCTCTCATTTTCCCAGGCTCGCTCTGTGGCTGCCCTTGCCCTGAGAGCAGGTTCTTTAGCCGCAGGGAGAGCAGACGGCAGCCGGCGCTGTGCTCTGACACCGGCCATTTCCAGCTCGTCTGCAGCTGCTGTAATGACAGTGGACCCGCAGTTTAATTAGTCACTCCAGCACAGATGCGGAATACGGCTCGTAAAGCACGCATCTCCAGCCCCCGCAGCAGCCGCGTATGGCTCCCTCCAGCTTGGGCCAACTGCAAATCAATGCGCAACCCTTTATTTCCCTATAAATTTCCAAATCGCTCCGCGCCAGCTGAGTTGCAGCTCAGGAAGCCGTTTTGCTCATAGCTTGGTAAACATTTAATGGGGGCCTAGTTGTGATGCAATAAGGGCCCAGTTAAACGAGGTCCACAGAGCCTATTATCACATGTCAAAGTAAGAGGCGCGCGGGGAGTTTTATTATTATCTCTCCCCAAACGGCGAAAAAGTTATTCACCCTCTGCCTGGCAGTGAACCAGAAGATGATCAGAGAGGGGCAGGGCCGTCGACATTAGCGTCCTGAACGCTAACCTATATGACATGACTTGATGTATTATGTATGCACTTTATTTTCTCTCAATGACATTTCATTAATTCATAATTACACTCTGCCGTTTGATCTTAGCACACCTTTGGGTTTTTCCTTTTTTTTGAGAAGTCAAGCTAGCCAGCGCGAGAAAAAAAAGCGCTAGGCCGAATTTCCCCTTCACTTGGCTGAGATGTCTGTGCCCTTAGACAGCTAATTTATCTGGGGGTGTCAAGCGGAAGGCAGCAGGGGAGGAGAGACGAGTTGAGGGTTGGAGCACTGTGTAGAGGGAGTGAATGGATCGTGACAGTGCCTTCCTCTCCGTTCCCGGTCTCATGCTAATTAGCGGCGCCACGAAGAGGCTTCCAGAAGCATGCAGACCCCAATGTGAAGCTCGCGGTGCCCCTAGTGGGACGTGACGCAATGCAGGGGCATCCCTGTCTGATACCCAAAACCAGAAACAGTGTCTGGAATAAACCCAGCAGACCCCCGCAGGGGCTTCCTCTATCTTCTCACTGCAGACAAGATGCAATCTAGCCCAAAAAATCTTTCTTGTATTCAAATAAGCACATGAAAGTGTTTGAATATGCCAGAGTCTAGCAAGGAGGTTTCATCAGATGCACAAAAAGACCATGTTTAGGCTAAGAATTGCTGGACAGTTTTGACACCTAGAAACTCTAGGTGGATGTTGCATGGTGTATTCTTCATCATTTCCGGTGCAGAAGTGTCTGTAGAAATAATGATGTGTTGTTATTCGCCAGTCACTCTTCTACAGCTTTCCCAGAATCTTTCACTATCTTTAAAAGATTGTGTGTTCCAACAACTGGCCATGAACATTGCATAGAGCCATCATAAAGTTGAATGGCCACTATTATTAAGAAATCTTGTCCTTTCTCATGAACTTACAAGCTGATTGTCAAATCTGCTATGTTCCATTAAGTTTAGTTGCTTGGATACCGGTTGCTATTTTTTCCAAAGTTCAACACACACATATTTGTGCTGAAGCCATGTGTAAATCCATTTCAGTACAAAACATGAGACTGGCTAGTATGAATCTCTGCTTGAATCTGGTGTTAATTCACAGCATCTGTTTAATTTAATAATATTAATAATAAAACTCTTGTTTATATATTATGGATTTTAAAGTGTTGAAGCACTAGAACTAATGCAACTGAGACTTTGGTACTACTCTTCAAATGGCAACAGTGTTATAGGAATAGTGTAGAAATTCTGAGCAATGTGGATACCCAACAATTTTTTCCACATACATATCTGTCAATGCAGATATATAAGCATTTATAAAGTGTAAATATAAACTTACCTAGAATATGTTTATGGAGACATTAAACATTTACTTGTGTAGGGCAGAGATGTCGCTTTCAGCAAGTCTGAGTCGAGTCTGGAGTCTTTTAGAGAGTAGAGTTTTAGTTTAGCCTCTTTATTTGCTGCAGGCACTGCATTATACAAATGTAAACCACAAATCTGGTTCAACACGGCTTCAAATAATGAGCCTTTTATTATAGAAAACTCCTCAGTCTGAAGGACAGAAGCACTACAGGTTCCAAATGTGGTGTTTAAAGTATAGGAACAATTTGAAACAGTTGGTTAATCTGTAGTTTGTGCAGCAAGTATGCTAGCTTGCATAATAGCTAATGCAGCTGACGCTAAAGTTTTAACGTGATCTGTAACTTACTAAAACTCATTAACTGACTAATTCAGCTAAATGACCTCTCGCTGGTTAGTATACTTGCTACCTACTATCAAAACTACAGACTAACCAATCATTTTAAAGTTGTTTTGTATCTATCCTTAAAACGCCGTGTTTACTCTGTATACATGGCCATAACCATCTTTGGCAACACAGAAGTCTGAACTCCAGACCTTGGCAGTTTCAGAAGTTTTTTTTTCCTCGCATCTTCATTTATGACATTTATTGTGAAAACACTGACGCTGTGATAATGCGGTAGCCTACTCTGGGATGTAGCCACAGGTGTCACAGGCCTACTCAATCAAATTGGGGAAATGTTTATCAAGCCATATTTTGTAAAGATAATGAAATCTGATCGCTGTCACTGCTCAGCAATCGTTGCTATCCGTCTTTACCTCAAGCCTTCAGTTCATTATCAGGGCCTGTAATGTTTGTAACAGGCATGAGGACATTGAGGTCCACAGTAGTTTTAAAAGGATTTTATGAGATTCCATGTGGAATAAGCAACGAGACTACCCAATCAGCAGTGACACAGGTTCTCAGCTGTAACATATTTAGCGTATGCTTTTTCAGTTATCGGTGAGGACCGAGAAGAGTGAGAAAAAGAGACAAGCACAGAAAGAGAGAGGTAAATGAAATAAAATCAAAATGTAAACCATCACATGATTTACATTTTCAGCTGAAAACAAACGTATAAATAAATAGTTAAATGATAATTTAATTAAACTTAAACAAGGTAATGGAGGTCAGATCAGTTTATGGAACAATAATAGCAGTTCATTCAGGATGGGAAAGGAACAAATGAAAGGAAAAGGTGCATCACAGTAATAAATGGGTAAAAAGGAGCAACTGATGGTGTAATATTCATAATCAGCATTTAGTTTATTCACTATGAGATGTATATCAATTTTTTGCAAAAGGGACCTCACTAAAATTTTGATCCTAGTTCGGCCCTGTCCGTATAGTGCTTAATGCATCAGACTGAAGGTTTTTATATAATGAAAGGCTTGTTACTCGAAGCCGTATGAAACCTCACACTGCGAGAGAATGGCATAACAGTAATGACTGCATGACCGTAACAAAACTGACAGGCGAAGTCCACATAAGTTTGGAAAATAAAGAGTCTTTAGTCTGGAGTCTGAGTCACAGGTCAAGCAACAGGCTACATGCAGGGATACAAGTGCAGTAAAATGAATAAAATGCAGACATTTTAGCTCAGCATCACTTAAACTCCTCCAGAGTACAATAATCAGGTCATCAAACATCGGTTTGAAATATCACTTAAACCATCTGTCCGATGCTAACTATATTTTTAACCAGTTACCTGCAGATATCAAAGTGATTCTGAGATCATCATGTATCCCAAGTTATAAGACTTTTTTGGCAGAAATATCCTTCATTGTTCCTTTTTCCTGTCTAAAAATGGGTTGCACCTGTTCATTGACATACTTTTCCTCTCGTTTAACTTTCTCTCTTAGCTGTGATCTCATCCACAAAAAAGCTGTGAGGTTACTAATGGAAAACACTGCACATCACTTCATTTTAGTAGATGCCAATTATTATAAACTTCAGCTTGACAGTATCTTACTCAGAACTGTTAAGTGTGCTTCTAGTATGCTAAATGCTAGCATGCTGCTTTTTCATTCCTTTCTAAAGGACAAAAATAAAGGAATGAGAAATAATGAGACTGACTTCTGTGTGATATATTTGGCGTAAAGCCTCATTTTTATCTTCAGTCTGAGAGATTCAGTTGTTGGTGTAAAACAAATGTTCAAGGCTGTTCTGCTCTACAAGAACAACACATTCAGGAAAAGTGACATATTTGTGACTTTATTTAAAATAACACCTCTGTGGGGTCACTGAGGCGGCAGTGGACCCCTCAGATAACAGCGCGAGCCACCATCATTTGTTTGTTTGTTTTTTCTTCTCATTTTTTTTTTGCAGATTCGAGAGCGGACGGAGGGCCACAGAAAATCGATCACGCAGTCATCGGTGGGGTTGTTGCCGTGGTCGTGTTCGCCATGCTCTGTCTGCTCATCATTCTGGGCCGCTACTTCGCCAGACACAAAGGTAAATCTCTAGCATGCTGCTGTATTCTTCTGCACTGCCGTTCAAAATTTTAAAATCTGCATTTGGAATCAATGTTTTCAACAAATATTTAGTAAACAGTTCAACAAATTCTGTATACAATGATTCTTTTATGATGCAAGTACTCTACAAATGAACAGCTTTAAATAAGCCTGGTACAATTATTACATCATTTCCTGGTCACAATTATTTTTAACAGATTTTTTTTCTTCAGCTGTTAGCTTTCACAATCATTTGTTTTGCGTTGCTAAAAGCATAATATGAATTGGGAGCATGTTCATCTGTTGTGTTGAGGAAAATGCACATAAATAAAAGAAAGCAGAAACCGAATGAGATGTCATTTGTCTTCTGAAAACGTCTGTCTGATGCTAGAACCTCTTTAGAGGGCTAGGAAGCAAGATAAGACCATATGGCCAAATTAGGCTTGTACTTTAAACATGACATGCAATGAAAAAAAATAGGATAATGGCAATTATTATATGGCAATTAATTGGCAGCTAAAATTTCATTTCATTGTGACGGGCCCAGGTTTTAAATCATCTGAAGGAAACTTAAAAAAAAATGTACAAATTGTAGATGAGTCTACAATGATGAACAGAGCTGAAAGCCACAAACCATTCAGAATGAATTGAGAAGTTTAACATCCAACATATGCCTCATATCTGGAAAGTGGTGATCACTCTGAATGTAGCAATACAACATATTGTAGTTTTATTAAGTTGTGTTGCAGCGCATCATATCATGGTAATCTGACTAGCATGTTGGCTTGAGGCCAGTGTGTTAGCTTGGGGCTAACATATTAGCTTGTGGCTGAAGTGTTGGACTTGGCCACTATAAACTTTTGTTTCAAATATTGCAATTTTTTACATTTTAAAGGATCTAAAAAACTGAAAACTGAAACATTAACAAAAACCAACTGGCCACTTCATTAAGTAAGCCTTCTTGTACCTGCACTCACTGTCCATTTTAATGTCCATTTATAGTTCTCAACAGTAGAACACAAGAGATGTAAAACTCTAAACTCACAATGCTTTGATTAGATTACGATTCCTTAATCGGTCGTGGAATCTCAAATTTCAACACAATTCAATTTGATCAGATTACTGTGGTACAATTCTGATTATTAAAAACACGCTGAACACACTGTGACTGGAGAAATTATTTACACAGTGGAGAAATGTAGACAATAAAAAAATACTTCTGTAAGTTTTAAAAACAGCCTGGCCAAAAAAAAGAATAAATACATTACTGAATGTTATTCTAATCGATTATAGAAACTGAGTCAAACATTCCAAAACCAATAAAGCTGAATCTCCACCTGCCTCTAATAGCGTACCTCTCCCCATGTTTCCACCCTGTCTGCTGCAGGCACCTACTTCACTCATGAAGCTAAGGGAGCGGAGGACGCAGCGGATGCAGACACGGCCATCATCAACGCCGAGGGCGGACACAACAACACAGACGACAAGAAGGAGTACTATATCTAACTCTGACTAGAGCCACTAGCACCCCCACCCCCCGCCGGACCAGGAGCCTGAGGGGTCCTGCTGAGTTTGGGAGGGAGGGGGTTGTGAGGGGGGCTTGGGTCAGGTCAGGCTGGTTTTTGGATTGGGGAGTCGACCCTGCGCAGCAGAAGAGGAGAGGAGAGCGTAGCCATCGAGACTGAAGAGGTGTAGGATGGAGGAGCATGAAGGAGAGCTCACTTTTAGAGAAGCTTCGCCATCCAACACCTCCTAACACCTCCTGCTGGTGCCAGTTTTGTTCCGTTTTTTTGACATTTTTGCGAAAAAAAAAGAAATTTTGTGCCTTGTTCTATTTATTTCGATGGAAAACACCTACTTTCTCATTCCTGCACCCACGAGTTGCATACTGCTGGCTCCCTTCACACAGCAGGCCCCATCGTCGCTGTGCTTTTTTGACGCCCGCACGCCAAGCACACACTCCAGCATTCACATGCTTTCCTGCCAGCGGAGTGGAACACACACCACACACACTAGTCCAAAACATGAGATTCAGTCTCGGAAGAACTGTTTAGGTCTCTTTAATGGCTTGTTTCCGAGTGATTTATCGCCTATCGGCTCTCATCATTTCCCTACCCCCCCTCCACCCCCACCCCCCAGATATTAAAGCTTAAAAAGTGGATAACATTGTGACAAACCTGAGCTGAAAACCATTACAGTTCTCCTGTGTTGTTGCATTATTTAATAGCTTTTCTGTACGTGCAAATAATCTGCTCGTGTTAGTATTCATTCATTTGCGCTGTGCCGTAAATGCCCACCTAGCGGTTTAATGATAATTGCATCCGTGCATTAAAAATGAATGCCAAAGCAAATACATTAAACTGGCCCCGGTTCAAATGGATAGAGAAACGCTCTAATGCCAGCAAGCCTCCCTCATATCATAAAACAGACATGCTCCAGACTATAAAGTAGCTCGTGTTCTATTTCTGTTCTCAGAAGACGGCATCAGGTGTAGTCCTCAAGGCTGGCAAGCTGCCACCAGCTGTACTAGCAGTTTGGGCTTATGCGCTTACACGTACTCACCACGATACAGTAACATATGAGACGTTGAAATTCAAACAGATTCAGCCAGTACGTTCTGAGCCATTTGACGTGGTGCGCCCTCCTACCAGCGCAATTTGTTTAAACCCTACTTCTGTATTCTCTAACTCTCTACAGCTGGCATCCTACATAGATGCCTGACTCGATGTTGTGTTCATGTAATTCTGTGGGGGCCTTATATATTCTCTCTTATTCTTTTGATTTTTTTTTTCCCTCATTAAACGTCCTAGGGGGCTGGAATAGGATGGAACACACGACGAATAGTGTAGAATTCATAAAGTGACATACAGTACAGTATTTGAGAAGTCTGAATATATTGTTGACTTTAAAATTCTCATGGCTGCACATTGTTTTTTTTTGGTCATAGAGTTTACATGACTTGTGAAATATAGAATGCTACTACTTTTTTTTAATTTTCATTTTTATTGTATGATGTCATCTGGCCAAGACTATTTAACAGGATTTTAAACCTGGGAACTATTATTATAATTTGAAAAAAATGAAAAAAATGCTAATATATGATGATATATTTATGCTAGTCTCATAGTTAGCCAGCGTCACTCTCTGTTCATTTATCTTGCTTTTACTATTTTTCCGTTGTTATCGTTTGTTGTACAGTGTTTTTTCGGGTTTAATTAGGCATCTGTGGGCTTTTTCAACACACGATGCCTTGAATTTCAAACAACTTGCCTGCATTGCTGAAGGAATTAAGAGCTGAATGGAAAAAAAGGCTTTCTAACATCTTGTCATCAAACACTGAGGGCTACAGGACATAAGAACGCAACTGTCATAGCTTCTGTGCTTATATAATGAAGACTACCACATAAATGACAGTGAAGGATGGCTATGAGGAACACTCAGTTGGTCTAATATGTTAATATCGCTCATGTTTTCCATCGAATTCGTTAATGTTTCTTGACCTATTACTGAATCTGAGAATATGTCAGATTCATCCAGCCGCCCACTGCATTTCGTCGCTGTTGTATCTCTGAAACTGTAACTTTATAGGAGAAGGGGGAAAAAATCATTCTAAACTGAATGTATGTTAACGCAACAAAATTTTATTCTAAGAATTTTTTCACCCTTTTTATTGGTCCATTCCCTGTGAAATGTTCATATAATGTAAAGGGCAACTGCCGTTTCAATTGGTGCAAAGCAATGATAAAACTGAAAAAAAGGGAGTCACAAACTTTCAAAATGACTGCAACGACTTGTCTTGTTCGCAGCCCCCATGATAATTGATAAACATTCTATAATAGGCAGCATTTCCCAGTTATTTAATGATTAATTTTCTCTTGTCTCAGGTCTACAGGTCTGTGTCTACAAATCCATTTTATTGCATCTCAGGTAGAAGACAAACATTAGGCCCCATAGCATAAGAAAAAAAACACGAATCAGTTTTACTATCCTTTTACCATCCAGCGTGAGGTATTTTCCATTCAGTAATTTCAATCAGTACTTCAAATGCAGTGCACTGTTTTAAATGTTAATACTTTGTATAGTTAGGTCACAGCAAATGATAACAGGCTTGTGAAAAAAGTGACTTGGAGTTCCACCTTCACGATTCACTATTACGTTTTTAGACCACCTTTTGCGTCACCCAGAGTGAGTTGGTGTTCATCGTTCAAATAGATTTTCTGTCCGATATTTTGTCTCATCTCTGTAGTTTGTATTTCTGTGTAATGAGAGATATCTACACGTTTCCATCTACAATTTGTATTTGATCATGAAAGTACATTTTTAAAGAAATGGAGCAGTACTTGTCTTAATAAAAAAAAATATATTAATGTTCAAACACTACTTCAGCTCTTTCTTTCACAGCCCTCACTCTTTCATTATCCCCTCTTAAAACACATTCATGTCTCCCGTTTGCTGGTTACCACAAAGCTTTCTGAGGGGAAAATTAGGCTGGATTTCAGTGAATTTAGAAAATGGGGGATCAAAGTTGCTAATTATTTCTGAACTACTGACACCTACAACACAAAAGGTATCTGAGGAAACATCTGAACAGGTTTGTCAATACATGCCAAAATTACAATCTAATATGGAAAAAAGATATAAACATTCAAAAAGCAGCACATTCAACTTGCTGCCTTAATTGCAATTCCTTTGAATGCACTATAGACGTTATGTCACACTTCTCATGCATGAGCATATCCACTGATTCATGGCAGTACAGTACAGCTAATCTCCTGTGTTGGGCTTAAACCTTTTGTTGGAGACGTCTCTGGAGAGGTGATTAGCTCTAAGCCTGAGAGACGCTGTCAAATGCTCTTGCATCAGCACTGTTGTTGCTTAAATCTTCATCTCATTTATCTGACACTTGTTTACCTGTATGTAATCAGTGCAAATTTTAGTTTATAAATCATGTTCAGAACTTTTCTTGGAAATATTTCTGGAGCTACAACAAAGGATTTGACCAAAACTAACAAGGTGGTCACTGAAAATCCTTAATTAGACATTACAGTAAATGTTAAATGAGATAAATGAGGACAGCAGCATTCAAAAGTTTGTCCAGAATGATGAAGAGAGCTATAATTACTGAGAAAGCTGTACAAAACTAAGAATGGAGTTATAATACAATTAACAAGCAAAATATCCCATACATGAATTTGAAATTACTGTAAAAAATAGTAACGGTACACTGTTACTAAGTTAGTTTTTTTTGAAACACCAAGTTATTGGTGTTTCAAAAAAAAAAAAACTTGAAATTTTAAATAATCTTAAATACCCTTAATATCAAACTAGTATCTACAATGTATACGTTATTATTGATTAAAAACACCAATTATTAACATGACTAGTAATTCCAAACATTTCAAAGATAGTGTATATAACATAAGCCACAAGATGAAGCAGAAACATCCTTGTGAAGTCTTAAAGGAATGGTTCAGTAAAGACATGTTCGGTGTCCAGATATTGTTTCTGAAGCTTCAAAGCCAATGTTGGCTAACAAACACTACAAGCAAGTCACTCAGAATGTTTTCATGAAATACATCAGCAGCTAGACAGGCTGGGAGTGACTCAATAAGGTCCTGGTAGGTTGTCACAGGTATCTGGAGCCATGCTAACTGCAGTGCATCCCACAGCTGCTGGACGGTGCGGTGGGGAGGATCCACAGAGCGAACATGACGATTGAGGTGGCACCACAGATGCTCAAATGGGATCAGGTCTGGGGGAATTAGGGGGCCAGGGTAGTACTTGGAAGTCTTGGTCATGCTCTTTCAATCAATGTCGGTCATTTCTAATCATGTGACACGTCGCACTGTCTTGCTGGAAGCAAGACCATCCGCCCCAGGGAAGACAATCAGCATGTATGGGTGTACATGATCTGCAAGGATGGATTCACACCCAAATCGGTTGAGAGTGCCTTCCACATGGATGAGTGGGCCCAGGGAAACATTCCCCAGAACATAAGCTGCATGAGGTACGCGCTGCCGCCATCGAAAGTAGGAAGTGGTCATAATAATGTGACTCGACTGTGTACTTACATAGCACTTTTCAAAGGAGTCAAAGCTGCTTACAAATTATTAAAACACAAAACAATAGAGACAGACATGAAGACAAGACACACAAAACCATAGGATCACACACAGAAATATGACAACACTTGATAGAGAGCTAAGGTGTGTATTAAGGTCATGCACACTTGCTGATGTTGTTTAAGACACAGTATGACAATGTGAAATAAAAGAATGAACAAAACTACGCTGTGTAGCCGAACGCTAAAACTGACTGGGTGAGAAATCTAGTGTTGGTTAGCAATGTTAGTCTCACTCCAGTTCTAAGCTAAAGAAGTAAAATCTGGATACAAAACATGTCTTGAGGTTATTCAAGTTCTTTGTATGTGTGCATCCTAAAGCTTTTTATTTAGGATTCACAGGGAGAACAACGCAAAATGACTTTGTTATTAAGTTATACGCCCTTAAAAATAATAGCTCCTATGTAGTTTGTAGTTTGGATGTATGGTCCTAGGAAATAGCTTTAATCTGTACATAACCTTTACAATATATGGATGTGCATTAAACTTTAAAAAGGTTCTTCACACTTGCACATCTTATTTACAAAATGGTTCTTTGAAGAACAAGTGGTTCCATGACATTGCTCCAAAGAACCCTTTTGGGGACCTTAATTTTTTAAGAGTATTGGACTGAGGAATAGAAGGATGGACACAACAACATGTCAAGGGGTTGAGGAGGTGCCAGCCTGGACTCAGTGTAGGTTAGAGGTCAGCTTCCTCTAAAGAGGGTTATTGATTTGTCTGTTGCCCTCCTGTCAGCTTCACTGTTCCAGTTTTCCAGCGTCAGGGCATTCCACTTGGAGCACTGTGGCAAACACCGCTTGCTGTGTGAGCTTTGTGGGCCACAGTGGTAAATCACAGTCATCCAATCTAGCAGCGGTCATCAGTTTGGACATTGCATGAATTCTCAGTTTACTCCAAGCACAGAATGCTCGACAGCCTGATGGCTCTTCAACTAAAACTCTTTAAACAAAGATATCTTAAAGGATTGCTGGGTGAAACTAGCAAACTAGTCACAGAACTTCTGAGAGTTGTGGCAAAACCCTGCAGTGTGAGGTCTGTGGACAATGGTGGTATATTAGTGAATCTTTTAGTGGTCATCAGAATGGATGTTGCATGAATTCACAGGTGGCTTGTTTTTCTCAAGGTTGGTCTACGTAGTGTTTTAAGAAGCCACCGTTCTGCACGTTCCTCATTTCTGATTTAATTAATTAAATTATTCTTGCACGTGTCGATTCCAAGCCTCAGTGCTCAACAATCATGCGATTATGAGACACAAGGACTGTCTCAAACTCAATATATACATCTCATGTTCACAAACTGCGTCCAAAAGTGTTCAGACACACTTCTAATCAGCATTAGCACAGTTAATGCCAAAATTTTCACCTCATATACATGAAACGCTAATATATGCTAGTCAATTTGTAATAACTTTACATTTTTCAGTTTTAAAATTAAAGTTTTGGGAACTAAGCATGATTTAGATCTGTGTTTTGGAAGTTTGCAAGTATGATAAATGACTAAATTCAAACACAGGCATGAATATATATGGCAGACTTTATCTGCGAAAAAAAAATGGCAGATGGTCAACACTTTGGCACACTGTGTGGGCTAAACGAACACATGAAATATGTTAGCACATTTCCAGTACTTCTAGCCAAAGCCACAATATAAATACCATTATTTGCTCTTTAATGGGCCAAAATGGCATTTCAAATCAGCTGCCCATTTAAATACATAAATCAAATGAAGAGCTACCTCAAAAGCAAGAGGTGACTGGCTATTTGGCACAATGAGTCATGCATCATCATGCTATGAGATTTTGGTACAGGTGGAGTGGCAGTATTGAAATACAGCATGAGTGCACTTAACTTGTTTCATGACCAAGATAAAAATAAACTGGCCGAACACTAATTCACTGTTTGGAACAAAGACTAGCCAATTCAGATCTTGGCTGACTCCGATTATGCATTTCCACGAAAATGAACAAGATCCACTAAAATTCCACTAAAGCCATATCAAAAGCAAACACCTGCAAGCATAAGAGTAAGTAGCTCATCATCATATATTCCAAACATTTCTTAGAACCTGAATATATATCTAGATTTATAAAACGCATAGTTCCGATCCTAAAATCTGATTGGCTGAGCCGCGTTCGAAGCCGTTGTAAAATTAAGTAATAGAACGCGAGAGGGAGTGTGTTATGGCGAAATAACATCAAGGCTGTGATTTGGTCGCAGGCACGAGCTGAAGGATATATATTCTAGATATGTTATTCGCGATAACACACGACCTCGAGTGTTCTATTGCTTTTATACAACAGTTAAATAAATAAAGTAAGAAATTAATAAATTGGGCCGTGAACGTGTCATTTAATATGTTTTAATGTTAGCAATTCCTTCCGCCAAATTATAGTTCCTTAACAAGCAGCTTGTTGCTACGTCAGAGTAACGAGCTCCGCTCACTCGCTGCACAGCCGGCAGTTCGTTCTCCAGCTCCACACAGACCAACTGACAGTTTGGGAATTTAGTGTAGTCTCATCTTCAGGGTCTGACCAAATGTGATCTTAAAAGTGTCCATTTTCTGTTTGTGGCAAAGTAAGAAGTAAAAACGTTCAAATAGCTTGAGCGTCTCCTAGCAAAGTCGTTGCTTTGCAACGGCGTCTCAGCGGACTGATATAGTGTTTGTGAAAAACCCGTGACGTTATGGCGAAATAACGGCACGGTTAGAACAGAACGCCTCTCAACCAATCAGCTTGCGTGGCCGGAACTAACTGTTGTATAATCCACGATATGACCGCCTCACAACAACTGAATCCTGTATTACTGCGCCACTGCACGAAAACCCCTGTTATTGGATTAATCTTTGATTCTAGTGCTGCTCGCACGGAGCACTGAGTGAACAGAAGTGAACGGAGTGAGCTGAAAACATATTTTCTTTACTAGAATTAGGCTGGTCAGCTACAGGGTAAAAGAAAGCAAACATCCTAAACAACTCCAACATTAATATCACAGGCTTGAATTAAAGCACTCACGATATGATTTACTGAAAAACGGCAATATAAAAGTCTAAAGAGTGTCACCTGAAAGGATTACACGCTTCAAATGTCTGTGTTTCAGTCAGAAGTAGCATCAACCCCGGGCTGAAACCCAAACGGCTCCGACCTCTCTAGCTAAATAGTGTAGCTCTGTAACATTAAGTTTAAAATTCTAGCTTCTGCTGTCACTATAGTGCACTGCTTGTCGAGTATGAATGTGGATGAA